ACTGGGACCATCAGGTTGAGAAGGTTTTAGAGAATGAGAATGTCAAGATCTTGTGGGACTTCAGAATACAAACTGACAGGCACTTGGCCCACAAGACACCTGACATAACAATAGTTGAAAATAAAAAAGTGTGGTTCATTGACATTGCAATACCTGGAGATGCACGAATTGAAGATAAACAGCAAGAAAAAATCACAAAGTACCGGGGCTTGCAAATTGAAGTTGAGTGACTGTGGAAAAAGAAATTGTTTGTTGTCCCAATTATAATTGGAGCCCTTGGACAATACCCAAAGGGCTACCTCGCTATTTGGAAATTTTAAATTTATCAGATTCTGATAAATTCTGATTCTACAAAAAACCACCCTACTTGGAACAGCTTATATCCTTCGACGTTACCTTAACAGTTCCTAGGTCCTTGGTTAGGACTTGAGCTGTTGAGCTACCAACCAGCCCCAAAGGCTGTGAATCTCACCAAAGATTAACCACACAATAATAATAATAGCAAAAACAACAGCAACTTCCTCTAAAAGTCTCCCTGCAGAACTCTAAATTCTGTTAAGGTATTTGAGCCATTCTATGTTGCATAATATGAAGTGGATCTATGAAATGGTCACAATTTTAACAAGAAAAACTTATAAGTAAAATAGATCTGGCATTGCTTATTATTTTTGTGCATGCATACACAATACACACACACACACACACACACACACACACACACACACAAGCATTCACTAAATACAGGGATACCCAGATTTTTCATGTTATGATCTAGGTCTAAGAAACACAGAAGAAGCAATAAAAGCTTCAATAAATGTCACAGCCATATTTTGTTTGCAAATTTGGAGTGATATAGAAAGAGATCTTAGTACTACAATCACAGATATTTGTCTAACAGCATTACTCCTTTTTACACTGACCTGACACATTTATCATTGTAATATAATACATTTGGGGACAAAAGCTAAAATTCAAACCATCCTGATAAATGCATGTGCTTCATTTATTAAAACAATGCTTTTAAAATACTGAATGTGTTTCTGGTGAATTTCCTTCAGCACATCAGACCCCATTGTTATTTGTTTAGATTGGATATGGAGCAATAAAAAGCTTCCACAACAATATTAAGTAATATTTTTTCATATACTTTAGTTCTTCACTTTTTGAACCTAACTTTCTTGATGTTAATAAAATTAATCTTGGATTTGAGTTACACTTAAAGTAGATTTGATTAGTGGGGGATTACTTAAGAGGGAAATTTGCTTACATAGATTACCTAGTCCTGGCAACCCAAGATGAACATATGGAAGATGCTGACAATTCCCTCACAGAAGGTCTAAAAGCTCAGAGAAATCTCTTTGCTGACTGGAGACTCATCCCAAGCACGAAAAAATAGAAAAAAAAATGTGTTTCACCCTTAATAACAAACAAACAAAAAAGTTCCGAAGATATACTTCGATTTCATTGAGGGTTGCATCAGGATTTTGTTTTTTAGTTTGGAGGATGAGGGGCATGGTCAGGTTGGGTGTGGCCATATCAACATCACTCTTGTTGGGGGCATCTATAATGGCCCAAGCACCTTGCTATTGAAAATGGAGCACGGGAGGGCACACATGACAGAGACACCACAGGCTAGTCCTTCGCTGTTTCCAGGGCCACCTGCAGACCAGATCTAAGCACCCCATGGGCCAGATCCAGTCCACAGGCCTTAAGTTTGTGTTTAACCAGTTTTCCTTGGTGTGATATTAGATTGCACTCTCTCTTATAAGAAACACATAGAGAGCAGTGCAGTAAAAATTAATGTCAAAATTCACATATTCCATACACTTTGTGGAACTTAATAAGCTGTCTCCAGCTCTAGCTTAAGCAATAGGATTGGTGTACTCTACAGCTAAATATTCTGTATCCCCCTTCCCTGGTTCAAGTTGTGAGCCGCCCTGAGTCCCCTTCGGGGGAAAAGGGCGGCATATAAATACAATAAACTGAACTGAACTGAAATACCATAGCCCTGTATAGATGAGCAGCTGCCATACAAATAAACTGGATGCTTGGCTGAACAATACAATATGGATAATAAGTGGGTGCATTAAGACCTGCTGACTTCTCATACCGAGCCATATTGTTCCACCAGGTTTATGAAAAGATGAACTTCTAAGAGGGTACAAAAGAAAAAAAAGTAACCCACAACTTCTTGTGCATTTCAATATGCCATATTATTAATTGGAAGGCTTAAATCCAGAAACTCTCCACTGATACTGCATTATGCTAACCTTGCTGTAAAATCCAGTGGAGAGTAAACTGGATTATTCAATGGTCCAGATTAAATATATAACTGATCCGACACACAAAAAAATAGCAGATTTCAATGCCACCTATTCAGTGCTGGAAAACTCTGAATAGGATCTGCATCTTGCACGGCATCTGCCCAGAATCTCTGCTTCCATGGGACAGAGTATTCCCCACCCCTGATTATGACCATGGTGGGTCTCATCAGACAATGGATCACATCGTCACTTTTTTATGGATTGGCTATTGGCTCTTTACCTTACAATATGATTATAGTACTCTTACTGTACAATAAACCCTTTAGCAATTTATAGCCTTTTTGTCTCTACATGGTTCACTTAACAAAAAGAAAAAATACCATAATGAAATACTGTATTTTTCAGAGTATAAGACATTCCGAAGTATAAGATTCACCTAGCTTTTGGAGACAAAAGCAAGGGAAAAATACTTGCCTCTGCCACCTAGCAATTTGCCTCCTTGCAACAAACAGCACAGACAATATACACTGCTTGTAGTATTACATTTCAGACTATACTTGTACAGATGCTGTTAAAATTGATGCACTTTCTGGAAGTATAGTTAGTCAGATCAAGCATTTATTTTAAAAAGCTTCTTCATTTTGTTAAATTGTCTAGAACAATAATAAAGCAGTCTTTAAAAAATAAGTCTAATAATTTGAACATTCTATAGGCATTTAGAGGAGCCAAGGTGGCGCAGTGGTTAAATGCAGCACTGCAGGCTACTNGCTTTCTGGAAGTATACATTATTCTCTGCTATTTAAAAGAAGGTACAATAGTACTGGGCCTCTGCAGATCAAGCATTTAGTTTACAAAGCTCCTTCATTTTGTGCAGTTGTCGAGAACAATAATAAAGCGGTCTTTAAAAAAATAAGTCTAATTATTTGAACATTCTATAGGCATTTATAGATATTGACTTACCTCCTAACAGCAAACAGCCTGTTTCAGTTTAGCCTGATTAGGAGGTAAATCAATAACTATAAATGCCTATGGAATGTTCAAATTATTAAACTTATTGTTTTAATACTGCTTTATTATTGTTCTAGACAACTTAGCAAAATGAAGAAGCTTTTTAAAATAAATGCTTGATCTGAAGAGGCCCAGTGCTATTGTATCTTCTTTTAAATAGCAGAGAATAATGTATACTTCCAGAAAGCCACATCAATTTTAACAGCATCTGTACAAGTATAGTCTGAAAAGTACCACCACAAACAGTGTATATCTTCTGTACTATTTGCTGTTTGGTGCAGAGGGAAATTGCTGAGAGGCAGAGGCAGATTTTTTTCCTCTTGTTTTTCTCCCCAAAAGCTATGTGCGTCTTATACTTTGGAGCATTTTATACCATGAAAAATATGGTACTTGTACAGGGCAAAATTTAAAATAATATTTTTCCTCCACTTTGAAGTATAACAGTCTACTCTTCTGCCTCATTTCTAAATGAGTAGAACTAAACCTGTTTTTTTTTTTTTTACAGTGTCCCCATGATTATGTTCAACAATTGGGGGGTTGGGGATTTTGTAAACTGTAATCCAACATATCTGGAGGATCTCAAATTAGGAATGAATGTCCTAGATTTTAAACAACTAAGAGATGTTTTATCTGCTCCTATAGAATCATCTCTAACACAGCCATTAGAATGACAGTTGAAATAATGGGTTTTGGGAAAAAAATGCCATTAGACAATGTAAAAAGAAACCATGAAAATGAAGGAAAATCAAAATTTTGTATGTATATATGTGTGTTTGTATCTGTGTAGATAAAATTAGTATTTTATTACCTCTTGTTGTACTGCACAGCTTCTCCATTCTTCGACCAGGTAATGATTGGCCTTGGATTTCCAACAGACTCACAGTGAAGAAGTACACTTAAGGTCCCACTGGCTAGAACCACCGTGTGCCCCAAATGGGTGACAACCTCAGACGCGGATAGTTGTTGCGCTGCAGAGATCTTCTTCAAGATGGCAGGTTTCTTGTGAGGCCCACGCGAACCATTTACGAGTTCTAGAGATGTGGCCAAGTGGGCTTCGGAGGAAGATGTTCTCAGTAATCTGTTAAACTCAGAAAATTGGTTAGTGAATGGATATTCCATGGAAGCAGAACTGACTCTGCTTCCCTGGGTTTTGAAAAAAGATTCCTGATGCTCCAAGTGGCTCTTGAAAATTTCATGGGCCAGCTGGGAGATGAGTTGCTTGCTGTAGACGTCCTTCAGTTCCTCAGGCTGCTGAGACAAATTTTTTAAGATGTCATCTAAACGATCCTGATTGGCAACCATAGTGAAAGGCAGGTTGTAGTCCAGACCCTGGTCTTCTTCTGAAGAAATATTTCTCTCTGTGGAGTCCTGAGCTTCCCAGGGCTCTGCACTAACCCGAGGCCAGCCTCTGTATTCCAGAAGCCTGGAGACAATGTCATCATACTGGTGGCTAGGACCAGAGGCAAATCCTCGTTTTTCAGTTTTGCTTCCGTTGAAGAGAAATTTATTTTGATGCTTCTCCTGGCCATGCAAAGCTTCATTCAGACTGACCTTCCTGGAGGATTCTTCCTCTTTTATCCCAGATGACAAGGAAGCAGAACATTTGTTGTGGCCTCCTATGAGTTTAATTACAAAATGTTCCTGAGCTGATCCTGCTGTGCAAGTATATGTGCCAGTATCTGAGGGCTTTAATCGATGGATCTTCATGTATCCATATGGCGCGACGGTAACGTGAACAGAGCTGATGAGCCGTTTGCCATCTTTCTCCCACGTTATCATTGGCTTCCGGAATCTTCTCACAGGACATCGAAGAATGACGGAAGTCTTGGGCAACAGGTAGGCATATCCCCCAACAACAAAATGCAGCTTCTTTTGCTTTCTTGTCTGGATAAAAACTTTCTTTTGAGCCAGTATTAAAGGGGGTTGCTTGTGCGCTGGTCTCTGATATCCTGGAATGCAAGTAACATTATTAGGATATGGTGTTACATCACATTTGCACGTTCAACCTAAGAGACTAAAAGACTAAAGGATTCTTTTTCCTTCCATTAAGGCTTCTGTGCTGTGCCCAAGTATGTGTTTCCTGCATGGACTCCATATCACTGATGGGTAATGCCTACGGGGGTGTAGCATGATACCCAGGGGTGGTATTTACTTACCTTCCCTACCGGTTCGCAAATGTGAGCACCCACCTCCGCACATGTGCTAAGCCTTCTGCGCATGCTCTTTTAGCTAAAAAAGAGCCTAAATAGAATGCCATAGAGCTGGGATGGTTGGGTGGGGCCACCTGATCCAAATATGAGCACCCACCTCTGTGCATGTGCTAAGACTTCTGGGGATGCTCTTTTAGCTAAAAAAGGGCCTAAATGGGATGCCATAGAGCTGGGACAGGTGGGTGGGGCCACCTGTGATTTCCACTACTGGTTCGGGTGAACTGGTGTGAACCGGTAGAATACCACCTCTAACGTTAGCCCATTATATGGTCTGCAATACAGAACATTTAATGGGGAAGTTACTACAGAAAATGTAAGCCTGGGATGTCATTGGCATGGGCATCTGCAAATGGGTCATAAAATGAAGCTTCCAACTCATTCAACCAACCAACCAAACATTTTTCTTTTGGAACTGGGCAACATTTCACTTCTGATAATTGACAGAAAATAGAGATTTATTCAACAGATGATCTCTTGTAAGTTCCTCCTTAAGAAGGCTGCATCATTTTCTAGGCTTGTGCTGTAGCCTTCTGATTCCAAAGAAATGCATGTTTGATTTAAGGAAGCACTAGTCATGCCTACTCCAAAGCACTTTGCACTGCATATTCACATTAATTATAATATTTACATTTAAATTAAAACAAATATATTTTCTATGCTGTTCTTCTTTCATCTAATTCCTTGACCTGATCCTGCCCATGTTTTGGATTGTAGCTATTTGACTGAAAGAGACTACGCACCCCTAATTTAAATGAATGTATAAAGTACATTACTCTGGCACTGTCCTGCTATTAATGTTAATAATTACAGTATTATGTTGTACTTCCCCAAACTATGCCCCTCCAAATGTTTTGCCTTTAATTTCCCTGGCCCCCATGTATTTTCTTTGGCCAGAAATTGTCTCAATCTTCCAATTCCCCTCCAGATCTTCTTCTATACTCACGTGCACAAGTCATGAGCACACATGGTCTGACCAAGGAGGAGAGCGGCAGAGATGGGCACAGCGATGAATTCACAATGGCAGAAAGTCCAGTATTTAGCATTTTCCTACAAATGGCATTTCGTGTCTGGGTTCCCTCTCCGCAGCTAACAGAACACTGGAACAGAACAACAGCTGCTTAGGAAAGTTTAAATGTTAATTAGTTTACTACCTATTAACTTTGGAGTTAACTCTGGCTCAATCCCCATCCTAAACCAGTGCTTGAGGGATAAGCCAGATCCTCATGGTCCTCTGGAAGTCTAAAAGAGTAGGGATTTCCTTGGATCTCAGGTGGGAGCTGTTCAAAGCAGCTGGGATGTCACCAAAAGGGTGTATCTATGGTGGAATGTAGTCTGGATTCCCAGGAAGGAGGGGCTGCATTGCGCCACAGGATCTTGGCGGTCCCATTAGGTGGCAAGGGAGTGGACCTGGACTGCACGCACCCTATCTAACCTAGTAGGGTGGGTTGGTATCTTCAGGGAGGTGCAATCTGCAAGTAACCTGGTCCTGTCCTATGTAGGTCTTTAAAGGTGGTAACTGGGATCTTAATGTGGATCCAGCACCTGAAAGCTAATGCACCTCATACAGCAGTAACCTAAATAACTGTGGAGCACCCCAAAACTGTGTGCACTATTTCATTCTGCATCAGTCAGAAACAGTGCAAATATAGCGGCTTCTCCTGGACTCAGAATTCCTGCTCAAGGTGGTGGCAGTGGTGGCTAGGAGGGCCTTTGTTGAACTCCAGCTTGCATATCAATTGTGCCAGCTGAAGCATCAAAAAATATTTACATCTTAGTTACTCCAAGATGACCTATTGCAATGCATTTTTCATGGGACTGCTCTTAAATAATGCACAATGCAAATGGTTTTGGGTGACATTGACATGGGCATATAATACATGAAATGCATGAACTGTATAGGCTACCAGGTGCTATTCAAGGTGCTGGTTATGACCGTGAAGCCCAATATGTCACAGGACTGGATTATTTGCCAGACCACTTGTATGGTGTCCTTGGTGCTCTCTTAGCTTGGCTGTTTTCTTGCAGACGTTTCATTACCCAAACTAGGTAGCATCATCAGTGCATTGATGATACATTGATGATGTTATCAAATTTGGGTAATGAAACAACAGCAAGTAAACAACTAAGCTCAGAGAGCACCAAGTGCCCCTCATTTCAATCCTGAGCTACAAATATTCTCCTTTATTGAACTATCTGTCTATCCACATGCTATAACATGCTCCAAGACCTGAAGTAACATCATCTGATGGGATTTAGAGTATGTTTCTTCTCAGTTGCAGCACCTGCCCTTTCGAAAGACATCCCCCCTATCCCTCACAAATAGATTGTCCCCCAAACCTACTAGTGTTTAGGAAAGCTTCAGAAGTTTGTTTTTCCACAGGCATTAGGCCAGGATGATGCAGTAGATGAGCCTGTCTTTGGGAGGTAGATTCTGTGTTGATTGGCCCTGATTGTATGCTTTGTTTTTGTTGATTGTGTTGGTTTGAAATGTAATTTGGGTTTTTAATTTGGCTTTATTGAGTTGTGATCACACAAATTGGGTGGCCATATAAAACTAAATAAATAAAATAAATATTTAGAAGAGGAGGGTCATAAACCTCGAAGTTAGAATGTAAGAAAAAAGATATGAAATATTCCCAGGTGTGGAAGAAAACATTGTTATCTAAAAATTTGAGTAGCATAGATTCCAATGTATACCTTGAATGATTAAAAGCAAAATAATGAACACAGCCTGAGGAATAGGCAGATGCCTATTTATCTAAGAGAGGCTACATGTTCAGCAGATTTAACTAGATAATCTATTTATTTGGCTGGGTTGTCAGGCTAGATCAGGGGTGGGTTCCTGCCAGTTCTAACCTCTTCTATAGAAGAGGTTCCACAAATCTACAGTGCCCTTTAGAACTGGTTCCAGCTCCCTCTCCAATAACTGCTTGCCAACAACCTTCAAATTACTCACAGGCATTATTGCAGATAACATGATGGATTATTTGGAAACAAACAACATCTTGCCAGTAGAGCAAAAATGCAACAAAAGAAGGAGCAGGGGCACAAAAGATCAGCTTCTAATAGATAAAATGATATTAGAAAATTGTAAGAACAGAAAAACGAA